GAGCAGACTTGCAGAATGTGCCCTTTGGAGATGTAAATTATTATATATGCCTGAGTGGGTTTTTTTGTTTGTATGTTTTTTAAAAAAGCTAAAGTAGATAGAAATACTTTTAACTGATGGTATATGGAGGGCATTATAATCAATGTAATGAAACAAGTTATATGAATCGTTGAATGTGAAACTGAAGATGTGCCCTGTAAACTTTCACTCAATCCACATTAAAAACTTTAAATTTAAAAAAAAACAAAAAACTTTATTACCTAAGTTATTAGGATTTAAGTGTATACATAGTTAATGAGGAGATTGAGCATTCAAACGCACTGATGACAGGAAAAGTAAAAAGCAATGATTGATAACACTTAGAATTCTAAATATTATTATCATTAATATCCACTGACCTTTCTTATCATTTGCACTATGAAACATGCCCGCAAGTACCCTATGACATGTGCAAGAATGCTCATTTTAGCCTCAATATCAACAACAAAAGAACTCTGGTACGTAGTGGTTATGAATCAGGCTGCTAACCTCAAAGTCAGAAGTTTGAAACTACCAGTCATTCCGTAGGAGAAAGATGAGGCTTTCTGCTCCCATAAAGATATACAGTCTCGGAAACCCTATGCAGGGTCATTATGAGTTGGAACTGACTCCACAGCACGTAACCACGATCAACAACAAATAGACACATAAAATCCATCAATAAGAAGTTGTTTACAGAAACTATAGAAGAACACAAGAAATACTGAACAGTTGGTACAAAGAATGAGTAATTCTTTAAACACACTAAGACCAAAGAAAACAATAAAATAGTATATGCTATACAGGGTTGCTGTGAGATGGAACCAACTCAACGGCACTTGTGTGGCGCTGCAGGATAAGACAATGGACTGCAAAGTCAGTTTGAACTGCAAGCCACTCCTTGGAAACCCTATACACAGAACTAACTCACTGGCACTTAACAACAACAACACAGATGTGCTTTTAAAGATAGCCTATCTAGTAACGTAGTGGTTACAAGTCGGGCTGCTAACCTCAATGCCAGAGGTTCGAAACTACCATCTGTTCCGTGGGACAAAGCTTTCTGCTCCCATAAAGATTTACAACCTTGGAAACCCTATGCAGGGTCACTGTGAGTCAGAACCAACTCCACGGCACATAACCACCACCACCACCACCATCTACAGGAGGAGTCTTGGTATTGTGCTGTAGGATAAGCACTGCACTGATAACCACAAGCTTGGTGGTTCAAACTCACCAGCCACTCCTATACAGGGTCGCTATGAATCAGAATCAACGTGACTTAACAGCACTGAACACCACCACCACCATTATCTATGGGAAATAAAGAACTGAAGAACATGTACCAAAGTTGATAGCAGTTCTTTGAAAGTAGGATTAAGTGCAATTTCATGTATAAATTCTGTATTTTTGCAATGTCTATTTTCATGTAACAAACAATAAATTTTTCAGTTAGTCTTAAATACAATTTTTTTAAAGCTTCAGAGGAACTATAAACTCTTGAGTTGTTAAAATAGATAAAAGATTCTAATAACAAAATGCAGTTTCAGAACAGCCCTAGTTAATAAACCCAAACCCATGGCACATAGCCAAGTCTTGACTCGCAGCAACTGCACAGGACAGAGTAGATCGGACCACAGGGATGCTACGGCTGTCCGTATCTTTACAGAAGCACACTGTCACATCTTTCTTCCACAGAATGGGGTGGTGGATTTTAACCACTGACCATTTGGTTAGCAGCCGCACTTAGCCATTGTGCCATCAGGGTTTCTTCTATTTAATGACACAACTGAGAACCAGAACGTCAACAAATTTATACAAAAGTCTTAATGAATCTTGCAAAGCTAACAATAACACCAAGGTGAATGTTTTCCATGAGTGTTTCTTTTTTATCTTAACAACAAATGGATTTTTTAGGAAATCATATATGCTGTTGTAAATATTTTCTCAAAGTTTAATAATTCCTAGCAATTTTCAGTATAATAATCAAACAAAATTAAATAATTTTATCACCATTTACCTAATGTAAATGACAATTATTTCTGAGTGATGAATGTTTGGTGGTTTTGTGTTTTGATTTTTACTTTCTTCACCGTATTTGGGGATTTACAAAATTATTTATAAGAAGAATATGTCCTTATAAAAAAAAGTCTTTAAATACGTGTGTTCCTTACTCTCTTCTCAGAACTCTTGATGCTCCAAGGCTTTCTCCATTTTTTAACCTTCTAAGCTCTAATGATCGGGATTGGCCCAGAATCGGGCAGTGTTTCGTTTTGCTGTGTTTAAGATCACTATGAGTCGGTATCAACTCGATGGCATCTAACAACAACAAGCTCTAATGATAAGTCCATTAAAAAAAAAGAAAAGAAAAACAATGCCCAATATTACAAACAACCATAAAGTCCCATAGACATAAAGTAACTTTCCTGGTTAAAGCAAAGGTCCAGCTCCTCAGTCATTTAGTTAGGTACATGTGTTCAATAAATAATACCTCCATGATCTGATATATGAATGGAACTCAAATTCACATGTGTATATTCATGGTTCTAATCTATGGGCCAAAGGCAATCAATAATCAGAAATTAGGGAGATTAAGCTATTAAAATTGGGAAAGGTAGGGAAAGAATGACAATGTTATAGAGCACAGGAATTGGTAGAGGAGGAGGCAGAGGAAGAAAGAAAGAGCTAGGAGTATTTGAGAGCTCAAAATCTACCTTAACATTCCAGAGGGGTAAAAAGTGAGCTCTTATACCATGAGAATACGGTATGCAAGTTTCCTATTTTTTCAAGAAATCATAAATGCTTAAAATAAAGTTCAGTTCTACTTTCATCTGTAAATAAATTCACAAAAGATTTTTAAAAAACTCAACTTACCTGCCTGACGTACTGGGAATTCCACATGGTCAGAGACTATAATCCGAAGTAAACTGGGGGCAAAATTGATAATCTTGTAGGACTGAAATTAAAAAGAAATATTTTATAAAATATAAGAATATAAAGGAACTTTTACTGAATACACAGCTGCTCAATTTTTTTTTAAATTATTTATTTATTTTTAAGAGAACCTCTCCAGGAGGGTAGTGGCCCCATAGGATAAGCAATGGCCTATGTAGCACAAGATCTGTGGTTCAAGTCCACCAGCCATTCCATAGAAGAAAGCTGTAGCTTTCTGCTTCCACAAAGATTTATAGCCTTGAAAACCCTATACAGAGTCATATGAGACAGAACCAACCCCATAGCACTTAACAACAACATTCTATTTTTGAGGTCTGGTGTTGCACCATAGGATAAGCATTTGCCAATCGCAAGATCGGCAGTTCAAACCAACTAGCCACTCCTCAAAAACCCTATTCAGGATTGCTATGAGTTGAAATCCACTTGACGGCACTTAACAAGAGAACCTCTTCTTCAAGGCAAAATGAAAATTACTAAAACACTTCCAAGTCAAAAAACAAAAAAAAATCCTTAAAGAATAATCCTAGAAGTTAAATTGATTTTAAAAAGGATATGAACATTTTTATTATTTTCATATAATTGCCAAAATGCTCTCCAGGAAGGGTGTGTGAATTTATACTCTCAACAATAATATGAGTGCCCAGATATCCAAGCAGATATTATCATTCCTTTAAAACTTTAAAATCTTATTAGTATTTTAAGTTACAGTTCCTCTATTACATGAGCGACTGAATTCTTTTCATGTCTGCAGGCTATTCCTCTTCTGCAAATTCCTTGGTCCCTTTATTCTTTTGTAATTGAAATATCTGTTTCATTCATAATAAAGGCTAAGAGCTATTTACAAATTTTTAAATACCCACTCTATATTTTATCTTTGTCACAATTGTTTCTTCCCAGATTATTAGTGCTTTTCATTTTGTTTATATTTCTTAAGGAAAGAAAATTAGAAAACAGAAGATCCAACATAGACAAACAAATGAGATGATGTTAAATAGCTGTGGATGAGATGTAAAGGGAACCAATCCATATAGGAACAGTGTGACTCAACAGCCAAACAAGAGTTGAGAGTTATCATCATCAAGTTGCCTACTATAATGATACAATTTCTGTTCTACATTTCCACCTAGAGTTGTGCTCCACACTTTGGCCTAAACCTGAGTTTGGCTATGGTGATATTTTGTTTTGGTGTTAGGACCAATGAATCAATTCCAACTCACAGCAACTCCACAAGTAGAACAAACCTCTACCAACAGTGCACCATCCTCACAATTGTTGTGTTTGAGCCCATTGTTGTAGCTACTGTGTCAATCCATCTTGAACATCTTCCTCTTTTCTGGTTGACCCTCTACTTTACCAAGCATGATGTCCTTCTCCAGAGACTGGTCCTTCTGACAATATGTTCAAACTACAAGAGATGAAGGAACTATTGTTGTTTCCAAGGAGCAATTCAGCTGTACTTCTTCTAAAACAGATATTTTCATTCTTCTTTCATGATACTTTCAATATTCTTCACCAATTGTTGTTGTTGTTAGGTTCCATCAAGTCGGTACCGATTCATAGTGACCTTATGCACAGCAGAACGAAACACTGCCTGACCCTGGGCCAATCTCACTACTGTTGCCACGCTTGAGTTCATCGATGCTGCCACTTGGCCAATCCATCTCATTAGGGGTCTTCCTCTTTTTCTCTGACCCTCCACCTTACCAAACATGATATCATTCTCCAGTAACTGGTCCCTCCCAATTATATGTCCAAAGTATGAGAGATGAAGTTTGGAAATCTTGGCCTCCAAGGAACATCCTCTGGCTGCACTTCTTCCAAAACGGATCTATTGGTTCTTTTGGCAGCCCATGGCACTTTCAATATTCTCCTCCAACACCATAACTCAAACGCATCAATTCTTCTATGGTCTTCCTTATTCACTGTCCAGCTTTTGCAGGCATATGAGGTAACTGAAAATACCATGGCTTGGGTCAGGCGCACCTTAGTCCTCAAGCTGACATCTCTGCTTGTCAACACTTTAAAAAGGTCTTGTGCAGCACATTTGCCTAATGCAATACGTCATTTGATTTCTTGACTGCTGCTTCCATGAGTGTTGATGGTTGATCCAAGAAGAATGAAGTCCTTGACAACTTCAATCTTTTCTCCGTTGATAAGAATGTAGTTGATTGGTCAAGTGGTGAGGATTTTTGCTCTCTTTACATTGAGATACAAACCATACCGAAGGCTGAAGGCTGTGCTCTTTAACTTTCATCAGTAAATATTTTAAGTCTTCTTCACTTTCAGCAAGCAAGGTTGTATCATCTGCATATCGCAGGTTGCTAATGAATGTTCCTCCAATGCTGATGCCACGTTTTTCTTTATAGAACCAGCTTCTTGGATTATTTGCTCAGCATACAGTTTGAATAAGTATGGTGAATACAACTTTGTTGCACACCTTTCATAATTTTAAAGCATTCAGTGTTCCCATGTTCTGATGGAACAACTGTCTCTTGGTCCAGGTATAGATGAGCACAATTAAGTGTTCCAGAATACTCATACTTCGCAATGTTGTCCATAGCTTGTCATGATCCACACAATCAAAAGCCTTTGCGTAGTCAACAAAGCACAGGTAAACATCTTTC